GAGAGAGAGAGAGAGAGAGAGAGAGAGAGAGAGAGAGAGAGAGAGTTTTAATATTTATTTTTCAGTTTTCAGTGGACACAACATCTTTATTTTATTTTTATGTGGTGCTGAGCATCGAACCCAGCGTCACACACATGCCAGGCAAGCGCATTACCACTTGAGCCACATCCCCAGCCCTGGAGAAAAATTATTTGAGACTGAATCTAATTAATTGGAAAGCCGAGAGACTATACCAAAATGGGCCTTTGGTTTCTATGGCATCTCCAAACAGCTTCTGCTTTATTTTTCTGTAAACCCTATTATTGCTATGACCATAGACATGGCTCATTCTGATTTCTTTCCTTCCTTTATAATTTTCTCTGTTCATCAACATCCAGCTACCTTTGATATCTGGAATCAAATTTCATTCTTACCTCTAATTCATTATTTAATATTTATTTATCAATCAGTTACTTACATTCCAATTGCATGCTAGGTGCTGGTGAAGTGTTCAGCACAGGACAAAACAGACAAGTCCCTGACCCTTGAGTTTAGTGTCTCCTTAGGAACACAGAAACAATGAGAAAAATCAGGAAATATAATGCTAAGTGGGAACAATGTGAGAAACTGTCTGAGAGGAAACCATCTGTTCTCTGCACAGAACAGTCTAGGAGGGATACCTGAGATGACTTTTAATCCAAAATTTTAATAATGAAAAAGAAGCCATGTGGTTCCAATGTGAGGACAGAAGAGGAAAGAATGACAAGTAAAGACAGTGTTCCAGCTAGAAAGAATAGTGAGATTAAAGACCTGTTGTGGGAAAAAAAATCTAGATGGTTTCAGAAGTGACAGAATGTCAAAGTCAATGGAGCATAAGAAGTGAAGAAGTCATGTATAGTGAGGTGGAGGAAAATAGGTAAAAGGCCAATTATGCAGGATCCAGTGATCAGAGAGTCTGGATTTTATTCTCACAGAAGAGGAAAACCACTCAAACCTTCAAACAGAGTTGTAACTTGATGCAATGTACTTTAAACAAATACCCTGGCACAGAAGCAAGCAAAACAAAACTGCAGAAGTCCAGCTGAAAAGTGATGAAGACTCAGACTATAATGGATTCAGAGGGGAGAGACCTACCCAGTGTATAAGTAGTAGTGCTATTTACTAAGATGGGAAAAATCCTAGGCATTGTGTAGGGGTGTGTGTGTGTGTGAAATGGAGAAGTGATGGGGCTGTTAGGGGTAGAGTGTCAGGAATTTCATTCTGGATAGGTTAAGTTGAAGATATGAATGAGAAATAGAAAAGAAGTTAGGTTAGTGTTTGTATATATGTATCTGGAATTCAGAAGGAAAGTAAGCTGGAATGAGTCTAGTAAGAGAAAGAAAAACCAGCCACAGAGACAGAAAGGATTCAAAATTAGATTTTTTTCCTTCCACATTCTCATTGGTGCATTATTGTATATAATGATGGGATTTGTCATTACATATTTGTACACACACACAATATAAGTTGGCCAATAATACTTCCCTCTGCCCTCCCCTTAAAAATTATTCTTTCTAAAGCAGATATGAAAATTGATTCTAAGCAGATTATGAGCTCTCTTAGTATTCCTCCCTCAAGAAAAGGAGGAGGAGGAGGGAAGGTAATAGTAGTGGAGGAAGGAGGAATGTTCTCACTAAAATGCTTAGCACAATTAAGTCAGAAAACAATTTACTGGCTTTGTCAACATGAAAGTCATGTAGTGTGACCATTGTTTTGCTTGCACAGAACAAGACTTGTTTGTGTTGTCAGAGTAAAAACTGACAATAGCCCTTTTTTGTTTAAAAACAAACAAAATAAAGCCAAAAACAGCTATCATCTAAAGGATAAAACTCCCTACTCATGGGTGGCATTAACAAAATCTGTGTTGGTTTTGGGAACATGGGAGCCAAATTGAATTAGTTTGAAGAGTAAATAGCAGGTAACAAAATCAAAATCCCCTGTGTAATAAATTTCTAAGATATGTGGCTCTGAATAGGAATGGGATAAAAGTAATATAGGAGCTCAGAGTGATGTGTTGCTGTCGGGGAATTTTAAAGACTGCTTTTACTCTTTAGGAAATGGTCCAGCAGTGAGAAAAAGATGGATAATGTAAGCAAAAGGGTGCCATTGAAAGAGAGGTGTCCTTGAGAATGTGGAAAGTGATGGAGTCTAGGATTACAAGTGGAGGGCGGGCCTTGGATAGAAGTCTACCAAGTAGTAAAAGAGTTAAACTATTTCCCTGAACCCTGCCCTTTAGAATTAGGGCATTCTATCCTAAACTTTCCCTACTTCCCCAATAAGCAATTTATCATGTCATGCCTATCCATAGTTCTCAAATGGAGATTTCCAGCTATCCTTAACTATTCCGACTATTTTAGGATTTGTTACTTTGTTTCTGACAATTTAAGAGCTACTATGCCTAATCTGTTATAATGTATTCAATTATATAAGATGATCATTTTTTTCCACAATATGATCACATTATTTCAAGCACGATTTTTGAAACTCTTGTAAAAGTTTAAGCTTCTTGTAGAAATACCAGATCATGTCTTACCTTAAATTTGGGCAAATTTATTAACACTGTGTTTTTTCATAGTAGCATGATAGTTATTAATGATCTGTTCTCTTAAAAACAAGTAAAATGACAGGGTTATCTAGGAATGCACATTTCATTGGTTCCTAGAATTTTTTTGCCAATGAATCTGTGGATGTAGCCTTAACGTATTCTTTTCTAATGACATGTGGTGATCAATGAGGCTTTAACAATTAAAGCAACCTGAAAGGTCATAGAAGAGAGTAAGGCAAAGCAACAGAGAGCCAAAAATTATAGAGAATGTCAGCTACAGAAAAGATTTGTGTACTTCAATGATGTACACAAATGCTTTTCTGTGTGGCTTTGGTAAATGAACCATGGAGACCCTTTGGGAGGTGTGCCATGCTTCCCAATTAGAATGCTTTGTAACTGAACTTGAAGCTTGCCACTTGTGTTATCCTCTCATTAGAAGGAAAAAAAAAAGAGGCCATTCTAGAAAATGATATTTGGCTTTTTTGGGGTTTGATGTGAACATAAATATGGCATATAATTTTGCAATGTAATGTACAACTAAAGGATATAGACTTGACTTCTAATTCTGAAGTCATTCCAATGAACATAAAATAACAAGTTGCTTGGAAGCAATTTTTAAGTCACGCTTCAGAATTCCTTTCCAGAAAATCACTCTCCATTACTAAAGGCAACTTTAGAAATAAGACTAAATGAAATAGGTTAGGTCCTTTTCAACTTATGAAATGAAGCTGAAAATATTTATGGGATAAATTGAATTGTGTTAATTTTCTGGAAAAATGATTGCTGATTAAAATGTTCTCAAAATTGAATTCTCCTCCCTCCACACAATTGACTCCCAACATTTGACTAATTTATTTGGCTGACACTAATT